TATGATAAGTTATCAGGAGATTTGATTTCAGTCCAATACAACAAGCATTTCTTGAAAAGTCGTCTCAACAACGAGTGTGTTGTTTTTGTTCCATAAACATATTGACTCAAATTCGCCTTGTGTTTTGCGCGCTTACATGCCACATTGTCTTGGGTATATTTTGTATTATTGGTCAACAATTAATATCCAAATTCAAGAGATTTGATACATATATCACGTTAAATCGTTATGCAATATTTCAAATTAATGCACCAAGTACTTCTTGAGTTATCTCCTCGAAACCGATTGCATTGCTTTTTGTCATGAAAGTTGACTCAAGATCGCCAGTATCTTGAGCGCTTTAACACACTACATTTCCGGAGAATATTAATTATATATTTTTTTGATTTTGAAAAAAAATACTTGATTTTGGACAATGAGTCATCTTTAATGCCAAAACCCAGTTACTAGTCCTTATCATTTGTTTGTAAAACTGTACGCATGCAGTACTGACATGCGTGAAATGTTTTGGTTAAATATGATTGTTTTATTTTGTGTAACAAAATGCTCTGCAACTAGTTCGAGAATACCATAGTCAGTGATAACTCTGTGTTAAGTTAAATTCATATAGACTGTTACTTTGGAGTTGAAAGAAATAAAATGTCAACTGCTTTTCAGGAAACACTGTGTTATTTCCAAACTTGTCTCTCCCATAGTTTTGAATTTCTTGATCCAATCATGGAGGAATAAACAATATAAAAAAAAGAATATTTTATATTTTTTATTCTATTTGATTCTGAAAACAACACTTCAATTTTTCTAACATAAGTTCAGTCAATTTATGTCTCGGGAATGTAAAAAAAAAAAGAAAGGGAAGAAAATTAAGTAACAATAAATTAATGTGGGACTCGAACCTGAGTCGCCTGATTGGGAGTCCGACGCCAGTCCACAAGACCATTAACGCGCTCAAATGCTCAACCAGTTCTACTTAATTATAACCGTAAGATAGGCTTATCGTGGCTTTTCACGTTGACGCCCATGCACGCTTAGACGTACATCGCAGCCTGACGATGTAAAACCTTCGTTAGATTTTGGGTGTAGCTGTTCGAATTGATCTAAATTTAATTGGAAAAGGATAAAGGGTGTCAACTGAGCTAAAATCCTGAAATTCAATGAAATAAAACTCGTACAATCTTTGGTTTCAGTACGAAACACACGTGTTCAACGGATGCAGAGAAGCCCATTTCTTTTGTTAAATTCCTTTGTTGAATCTTGCGTTAACAATAAAATGTTTCCATTGAGGCGAAAGGATTAAACGCCGCGATCTTTTTTCACGCTTGAGTGCCTCTGAATGGGGAATATTGAAGCGGAAAATCACGAATTTCAGCACTTAGGCAGCATTTTATCCCACATAATGATACTTTTTGGAGAGGAAATTGCATACTGAATACAACTGTATTTTCAAAATTCAAAAATTCGCCGTATTTAAAAAGTCAAGGTAATTTTTTAGGAAAAATTTCACCAAAACTTTCCTCATCCTAACGTAGGCGGCGCTATATATATTTCATTCTCGCACGTGCACCGTATTCAGAGTTGGCTAGCGCATTAGCGTGTGTGTATGGCATCGCAAGGGATGGGGGCGGGGCTGGCTGCCTATTATGTATACATGTACGGTTTATAACCCTTTTTAAAAAACATTTTTCCACTAACAACTTTTAGTAAAAATATTTTGCTTGTTCCCCCCCCCCCCCATCTCACACGACAAACAAAATTCCCGCCCCCTCTTGCTTCATGGGTATACCGGGGCCCTTTTATTAATATCCTTATACGCGTCTCTTTTGTTCCATTAAAGTTGACTTTTATTCTGATTGCATTTTTTTTCACAGACCTTAATTATCTATTGTTTTAGTTGTAGACCTATTCAACTTTTATTGGTGAGATAAATTGAAATTGTGATGCTAGGATAAGATTGGGTACAGTGGATAGCGGGTGATACTCAGATGGGGCGGCGGCTAGCGCGATAACAATGCCCACTGAGAATGAAATATATAAAGCGCCGCCTACGTCAGGATGAGGAAAGTTTGGGTGAAATTTTTCCAAAAAAATTTCGTCGACTTTTTAAATACGGCGAACTTTTGCATTTTAAAACTATAGATGTATTCAGTATGCAATTTCCTCTTCAAAAAGTATCATTATGTGGGATAAAATGCTGCCTGAGTGCTGTAAATCGTGATTTTCCGCTTCAATATTCCCCATTCAGATGCACTCAAGCGTGAAAAAAGATCGCGGCGTTTAATCCTTTCGCCTCAATGGAAACATTTTATTGTTAACGCCAGATTCAACAAAGGAATTTAACAAAAGAAATAGGCTTCTCTGCATCCGTTGAACACGTGTGTCTCAAACTGAAACCAAGGATTGTACGAGTTTTATTTCATTGAATTTCAGGATTTTAGTTCAGTTGACACCCTTTACCCTTTTCCAATTAAATTTAGATCAATTCGAACAGCTACACCCAAAAATCTAACGAAGGTTTTACATCGTCAGACTGTGTTTTACGTCTAAGCGTGCATGGGCGTCAACGTGAAAAGCCACGATAAGCCTATCTTACGGTTATGATTTAGCAGAACTACATCAGCATTTGAGCGCGTGAATGGTCTTGTGCACCGGCGTAGGACTCCCAATCACGCGACACAGGTTCGAGTACCACCATAACTATATTGTTACTTAGTTGTTTTTTTTTGACCTTTCCCTAACCTCTTACGGTTATGATAAAGCAGAACTGACGCTTTGTTTAAGCGCGACAATGGCTCGCTGGACCGGCGTAGGATTCCCAATCTGGCGACTCAGGTTCGAGTCCTACCATAGTATTGTTATTTAATTGTCTTCACTTTTTTTTCTTTCCCAAAAATGAATTGACTGAGCTTACTTTTAAACAAATTGAATTATATTATTCTTTTTTTTTTTTACCTTCCCAACTTTTTATAGCCCCATGCCCAAACAAACATTTACTAAACTTATCTTTTAAATAAATTGAATTAAGTTTTGTTTTCAGAATCACAAACAAACTACCAAGAAAACAAACAAATCAATAACAAACAGGTATTTTTTTCACTTTTATTTATTGTGATGATTTAATATCTCTTTATTCAAAGAACTATGCACAGCATTTCAACAATCTTTTAAGTACACATTTACTTTTAAAATTCACCTACACAATATTTACACTGCAAGATAAGATTTATCGGACTTGAAGGGAATGTACAACATTTGCTTTTGCTGCAATTTTCAGAAATAAATGGATTTGGAGGATTAGTATGTTATAGCAAATACTGTTAAAAAGACTTTTTTCGCATTTGGGCTTGTAGATGCTGGAAAAGCCAAGAAAACCAGACATGTATTTGCAGTCTGGTGACCCCACTTATAAGATAAAACGGAGCAATTAATAGACTTTGGGGAATTGTAAGGTCAGAGAATCAGTCTAGCAGACTTGTACCTCTTCACAGGTGTGTAATCAATTGCAAAGAAAATGCGGAATAACTAATTATAAAAAAATTGGGAGCAATTTTTGAAAAATAGCCAGTTTTCTCCAATGCTGGTCGGCTGACCAGCGTTGGAAAAGAACCATTTTTCTTAAAATGTCAGCACATCAGGAGCCACGATTTTACAGGATATGCTTTAGACTGTCATTCCCCAACAATCCAGTAAGGTATTTCGCGATAATTTGATCATTTCGTTTTGTGATGTTTGCAAAAGTTGTATCTTCCCTTTAAAGAAAGGCAGTAAACATTTAATGTTTTTACAGATGAAATAAAGAAATGAAGTCAGAATATCACACAATATTGGAAAAGAATGTTGCAACCTGACACCACTTCAGCGGTTGTGTGCAAAGTCTATGGAGCGTCAAAAAATTTCTCTAAGTATTTCTCAGTCCCAGATTCATGTCTTATCATCATTTTTGCAATGAATGACTTCATTGAGATGATATGAAGAAAAAGCAGCATCAGGTTGCAACATTCTTTCCCAATATTGTACATGAAAAAATATAGTATTGACAATGTGATAGATAGACGGAGAGGCTCTGCTGGCAGAAATTGTGTGCTTAGCAGCGCTATGAAATTGGGCCCAGTTCAAATCACTTATTTTCCATTTGTTTCATGCCTTCTGGACCTTACACCCTAATTACCTGACAAACGTGATCCGAAAATTTGTACATATATATTCATATCAATATAAACCATTAATTAGTATAATTACATTACGTACAGATGACTACCCCCTCCTTGAATAACCATTCCTGGCCCATTCTCATGCCGTTGGCTTGTCTCTAAACAGGCCCCAGAAACTCCAAGAAAACAAACTTGCAGAGTTGTCCTACATGTAAGCAACATTTGTGACGTGAACATTCATAATTATGATGAACATTTCAATGCTGCCTGACTGACTGTCCGACCGAGTCACTGAGTACTAACTGATCGAGTCAGTCACTATTATCACTGACTGACCGAGTCACTGACCGAATCACTGACTGCGCGATGAGTCACTGACCAAGTCACTCAGTTGATGACAGCCACTGAGTCGCTCAATGAGTCACTGAGTGATTCCTTAACCGAGTCGCTGACCGAATCAATGACTGAGTCACTGACTGAATCACTGAGTCGCTGATCGAGTCACTGAGTCGCTCACTGAGTCACTGACTGAGTCACTGACCGAATCTGACTGAATCATGGAGTCGCTGATCGAGTCACTGAGTCGCTCACTGAGACACTGACTGAGTCACTGACCGAATCTGACTGAATCATGGAGTCGCTGATCGAGTCACTGAGTTGTTGACTGAGTCACTGACTGAGTCACTGACTGAATCTGACTGAATCACGGAGTCGCTGATCGAGTCACTGAGTTGTTGACTGAGTCACTGACTGAGTCACTGACTGAGTCACTGACTGAATCTGACTGAATCATGGAGTCGCTGATCGAGTCACTGAGTTGTTGACTGAGTCACTGACCAAGTCACTGAGTCACAGAGTCCAGCTTAACTAGGCAAGCCTACTTTGTTTTATGCCATGAGAGACTAGCCTCTCTCCAGAACTGTTGTTTTCTCCTGCATAACCACCTTGCCAAAGCTAAATAAAGAAATGTTTCAAGGCAAATTTGCCAATGTGAAGACCAATTAAATCACTCCTAAATTAATCAACAGTATTGTTCCATTATTTTATTTTTGGAAAATCCCTTTGCAAGCAGGAGTTTCTTGGAATGTACATATTTAAACAATCTCAAGACTAGGATAGGGACCACCTCAGGAAACTGGTGCCCTGTTGTCCTTGGCCCACTTCTTCATGACACGGATGATGTATTCCACCTGTGGGTTACCGGTGTTGCGCAAGATTTGGAGGATGTCTCGCAGTGTTTCTCTGTAGAGGGAAAAAAATGACAAAAATCTAGTGGCTTGAACTTCACTGGGTTTTGTGCACATGAAGATGAAAGCTATTAACAAGATGGACTTTGCGTCGGGGTGATGTAAATCAATGTTAGGTTTTGCCCTTCACCGATGTATAAACACTGTATACTCGGTGTGTTACCTCCCGAGTGAAAGTTGGGAAAATAATCACTTGGGTGGGATTCGAACCCACGACTCGACCATGGAGCTTACGGGGTTGGTTGGCTGGCTAGGCAACCAATTCTGTAAGCTTGATGGTCCAGTGGTTAAGACGTCTGCACTAACAAGCAGGAGGTCATGGGTTCGAGTCCCAACAGAGTGATTTTTCCAACTTTAACTCGGGAGGTAACGCACTGAGTATACAGTGTTTATACGTCAGTGAAGGGCAAAACCTAATAGTGAAAATGAAAGCTGTTTATAGAATATGGGGGAAAAAGGAAAAATCCATAAAGATCAATGAATTTGAACTAGAGGGCTAAGAACGTGAAAAGTATTCATGAAAATTTGTAATAAAAAGCCGTATCCTCTCTGAGTGATCCCCGTTTGATATTTGCCAGGTCTGCATCGTGACTTTGGGCGTGATCCCTGGCTGCATGGCATATGCGGGTTGAGGGCTTCTGACTAGCGCCCCTTTGACAGAGACATTGACAATTAGGGAACCGCCAACATTGGGCTGGATAGCTCAGTTGGTAGAGCACCGGAGTGATATACTTATTGAGATGTAATTGGTCAGTACGCACTGTTTGATCGATGTACTGTGGTCACCTGACCAAAGGTTGAGATCTAATTGGTCAGTGTGCACTGCTGATTGACAGAGATGACACCCACCTTGGTTCATGGCCAGCTATGATCTGCTGGAATACGCCCACGCACGCCCCTCGCTTGCCTTCCCAGTATTCAGGATTGGGGTCCAATCTTTCCAGGACACCGAAAGCCTTGGTCGCATAGTAGAACTGGCCATCTACCGATAGAAAAGATGAGATTTGAGGATCGAGAGACCGTGACAATTATATTTTGAAGTCGAGCAAAAAAAATCAGAATTCCGAATGACAAACCTGAACTTTTCGATCATATCGCCACAGTGTTGACAAAGTGATGAATTTGTCCCAAATCAATATTTTTAAGCAGTTTGGGATTTTTGGCTATTCTAATATTTTATGATGCCCTCTACATGCTTACCAAAGTTTGTGACACAAAAGTGCATCCTTCATTATTCAAGCTATAATATGACACAAAGTCGTAAATGTGCAACAAATCTTTCTTTTTTTCTTTTTGACGGGGGTTCGTATTCTCGTTGATTTTACACGTGAAAACAATGTTGCAATCAGACGCCACTTTTGTCTTCACACATCATCTCAATAAAGATGAGTCATTGCAAAAATGTTTCACAAACACGAATCTGCAGAAACATTTCCTATTTTGTTCAGAAATACTTGGAAAGTTTTCTTGACTCGCCATAGACTTTGTACACAACGGCTGAAGTGGCGTCTGGATATGTGCATTCTTTTTTACAAGTGTGTTATATTTAGATTGACATTTCCTCTACGATTTGGGTTTTGACGAAGTGACAAATGTGTTTTGTGAAATCGGTTGCAGGTTTAGATTAAGTGACTGGATACTAATTTGGGGCTAATGCCAAAATCTTGACCAAACATCCAACAGACAAAAATAGGGGATGATGTTTTACCTTGTAGCCGTCGTTGGCAATGAGCTACAGCAGGCTGAACGATTCGCCAGACGTCTCCATCTTAAGGTACAACTCCCAGGCTAGTCTGGCCTTACGATTCACGATGTCTGAACAATGAAAACAACACAAAGAAAGGTTATAAATACATAGGATACTGCTGTAAGAAAACACATTGGGGTCCACAAAAGATGTTCGGTTCAGTGGATGCTCGTTTTAACAATTTTCGGCCAACAATGCTCAGTGTAACTGTGTACAATATTTGGGAGCCAAGAGGGATGTTCAATGTAGCAAATTTCTGTCGTACAATCTGCTTGAAATGTGATAGAACAAATCCAACATGGCAAATGTACGACTAAGATGTGAAGTTTACACGTTTAAACGGAAAAACTTCTCAATCCGTTTACAAATTTCTCAAAACAAGAATTATAGAAAAGGGAGTTCTGTTCACGCGATCTTCCTTGGAGATAACCACACATAGCACAAATAATTAACGTTGTTTTCAAATCCTCCTTAATTTACAAAACCTTAGAAGCACCGTAGTACTTGATTACATTTGGGGAACACGTAGTTACATTTTTACTTTATCAACGACTGCCTGCTATTTACTATGTCAACCATTGTTGATTTATCATGTCAATCACACCGGTCTGCAGATCAGACATAATGGGTAAGCAAAAGCCACTGTCAATGGCTAAACGTTTAAAACGGTTCTTAAAATATTTGCTTAACGTTTACAAAATGAAACGCAAAGTCACATCCTTAATATACGATCAGGGCGATGATTGCATGCTGGTTATGTCATTGTTAGAGACCCTTCAGTCTACCTCACACATGGGCAACATGTGCATCTCCCTAATGCCACTCTGGATTTTCCAGCAGTACATGAAATGCATGCACGCGACGTGTCCTGACTTTAGTTGGACATTTGGTTGTGCAGTCACAATTGTGAGTGGTCAATACATTATGAGTTGAGGCTTAACAGGTGGATTCATTCCCATCATTAGCAACTTGGAAGTTGGAAGAGGAAACGTCATTCACAATTGACGGTAATACTCACAGCATCTTGCCAACCAGAGACACGTGTAGTCATTCTTGATCTTCTCACTCTGAATGAGCACAAAAATCTGGGAAACAAGAGAAACGAAACCCACTCCAATTAAATCATGGTAAAACCAATTAAGTGCCCCACCAAAACAGTGGTCTAGGAGGCACAGCAAGATCCCCATCCTGGTTTTAGACTTGTTTTTTTTTTATGCCTATTCGCCCTGAACAAGGCTACAAGCCACTCCAGATATACAGGGCTACAAGTCAGCGCAAAGCAGCTAAATCAACCACACCATCTCTGCCCTCATAGGCACCCACTTATAAGCCATCAGTGTGGGGGTTTGGTCAGTATCAAATGAGGGGAATAATGCTCATTGTGATTTTTGGCAAGGTATGCACCCCTCTTAAGTCAGAAAATATGTGACAGCATTGCAGCGGTGGCAGCTTTTTGGGTGCTATCACTTGTTTACTTTTTTTTTAAATGGCAGCCAAAACATGCTTGTTACAACATACAATTGATCCGGTTCAAGCATATTGACGGCCATTTTGAAAACACAAATCAAAAGTGATAACACTGCCACCACTCACACTGCAAAGCTATCACACATTCTCCAACTCTAGATGTGCCTTTCAAAAAATCGCTATGAGCATTGCTCTTTTCGATCGTCTGCCGGTGGCCCAATTTTTGGACCAAAGCAGAGAGCCTATTACTCCTGGGTGGGGAGAAGCAATGAGTGACAAAGTGCCTTGCCCAAGGGCACACGCACCATGACCCCAGGCTGGACTCGAACCCACAACCTGCAGCTTTACCGCAGACCACGAATCCTGACGCCCTTAACCACGAGGCCACAGCACTCCACACTCCTCTTGAATCAGGACAGATCATAGGTTGGAGGGAAATAAGCACCAGGCAAGGAATTCCAAAGAGATGCAGCACGTGGGAAAATAAGCTATTGCAATATCTTTTTGTTCTACATCTAGGTATACGGCAACAGTATATGGATGAGAACAGACAGAAAGTCGGGCTTCTCTCTCAAACAGGGCCAACCATCGGTGGAAATTGATACAAAATTCCACTTTTCTTGGAAATGACAGCACACCAGGTGCCGTGATTTCACAGGATGCTTGAGACTATTATTCCCTAACAGTCAGGTATTTCATAATAACTTGGTAGTTTGGGTTTTTGATGTTTGCAAATGAAAGGCACCATGACTAGTTCAGGCACCATGACGAGTCACTGCGCCATGACTGGCAAACTATTGAGGGCGCACCAACAAAAATTGGGTCCGGGAGTCCAACCTACTTCCTCTGCTTCCTTGTAGTTGCCTGCTGTGGCTTTGGCCTGCGCATAGTTGTAGTTGAACCTATCGTCGTTGTAGAAGTAACTCTAGAAACGTAAACATACAAAAATGTCATCTTAGTTTTTCTGATAATTTTCCCACCTGCACTACTTTCTTCCCCCCAAAAAGGACAAATACAGCTAAACCATGCCACAGAAACAACTATGAGCAAGTTGGGGCGAGACTATAGTGGTCGATTCCTGACGTAATTTGATGCCTGAGCACTAATATCAACATGCAAACGCCTCTACTCAGACGATGGTCAAAATTGTTCACCAAATAAAGATAATGGTCAAGAATAATTCTAAACACTTTTGGTCTTGAATAATAGAGGGTGATTGGCAATAAATATTTTCAGGTTTTTGGAGAAAAGTTCAAAAAACGAATAGTGTCTAACATTAAATGCATTAGATAAAATGACCTGAGAGCAAATATGCAGTCCTATGCCCCCTGTCTGTCTGGCCTCAACTCCATTTTCAAAGCTGTTAATGAAATAAAATGAATCAATAAACATTACTGCAACTTTCCTAAAAAAATACAGCGGTGCTGTTGAAACCCCTCGGCCTGAGTTTGTTGATATAAGGTGCAAAATTACAAATACATGTAGTAGAATAGTTAATACTGGTCAATGGAATGACCTAGACCTTGACCAATGACGTTGACCTTTGACCTTTTGACCCCCAAATCAATCCAAACTTGACTTTCCTGAAGGGCAACCCCTGAAGTTACAAACCCGAATCACATTTCTAACTCAAATTATCATCGAGAAACAATCTACCTCCAACTCACCACTGATATACTCAGCCAAAAATAAGAAAATAATTTTCTGACATTCTTCTAGTTTGGTAAAGTAGAGATATATTTATTTATTAATTAAGAATTTGCTAACTTTAAATAACTTTTTTAGTGTTAACCAGGAATTTTCCAAGATTTACGCAAGTGCGCTACGTTAGGGAACACTCAGCTGATTTTTTGCCCAATTTCCGGACACCACCGTTTTTTTTAAATTTTGCTCAAAATTGTATGACAGTGAAATTGTTTACAGAATTTAAATGGCAAACACTACTGAAAAAAGTACCAGTAATAACTGAATGAATTTGAAGTTTATCGACAAAGAAGTTTGGCAACCGTGCATGAGGAAAGTCAGGAGAAACGTCGTAGTGCGCCACGTTAGGGAACACCACTATATGTGTGCATTGATACTGGGTTCTTAATTGGGGTAGGTGCGGTGAACTAAAAACAATAGGCCCTGGCCCTGCTGACTATATGACTATACAATCATGGAGCTATAAAAAGAGGTCTTACCCAACAATGTATGCAAAGCATTCCAAAATACTCCGGAAAGACACCCATACCTCAGACGTCACTGACCAACAAAGACTAGGAAATGTCCTTTGACATGTTTTCTCAGTAGGCATGCCATGGTAGCAACTTTTCCCTGCTATAAATCCGACATTTTTGGACATATTATCCCTTTTAATGGTGATATAGGTCACTGTAGGGAAAAATTAGTGATGTCCAGATATATGGGAATCTTTCCAGAACGCCGAAAAGAAGTTGAATTTTGAGAAATAAATAGTCCAGACTTACCTGACGTACAGGCCTATATAGCCTACCGCTGCATTATCTGCTGCATGATGTTGATCGATAACCAAACAACAGGTGGCGCTCTTTACAATTAACGGTGTCAGGTACAATCTCATTCAAGTGATGTTGAGCAATACGCGTTGCCATGGTGATACGTCATCAGTGTGCTCTGCATCCTGTATGTGCTCCACAGTTGACATCCTTGGTAGAACCTTCAAACTCTGTCAACTTCAAGAAACAAAGGAAAACAAGTTATTTTAACATCTTAACCCTCCGACGCAGAAAGCCTATTTACTAACACGCTTACAGTAAGGGGTCCCTCCGGGGACCCAGATATTTAGCGCCTTGGTTTGAGGCTACACAACACTGTATAGATGTACACAATCTCGACATGTCTGTAGACTATAAATAAGGAGGTCATTGACAGGAAACAGATGTTGTATACATAGTCTGTGGTCAAGTCGTGCACTGGCTACCCGCAAGTGACCTTGTTTTGTGCATATGTATATGGGCAGCCCAGGTTGTCAGGCTCAGATATGCCTGACCCGGGGTCACACACTAAAGGTGACTGCATATATCCGTAGAGGGTGTCTCTTGCTAGGATTAGATGGAAGATCACCAGAATTGGTTTGAAATGTTTTTTTTTATTAAGGTAATTAACCTAATTGGGTCCCCAAAAGGGCTAGTTTCTGCGTCGGAGTGTTAATCTTCTAATTCATAAGGTTTAGTTCAAATATTGTTTTCATCTGCTATTTTTTGGAAAGGTCATTGTTTGATGAATTTGGTGGACAATAATTACTGTGAAATTTGAGAACAATTTCCCAAATAATTGACAAATTTACAAAAGATCAAAGTGGTCAAGAGAATGGTCAAGAATAATTCTAAAAAAAATTGGTAATGAGTAACAGAGGGTAATAATGGCAATAAATATTTCACCTTTTTGGAGAAAAGTTCAAAAACGAATAGTGTCTAACATTAAATGCATTAGATAAAATGACCTGAGAGCAAGTATGCAGTCCTATATGCCCCCTGTCTGTCTGGCTTCAACTCCATTTTCAAAGCTGTTGATGAAATAAAATGAATCAATAAACATTCACTGCAACAAATACAGCGGTGCTGTTGAAACCCCTCGGCCTGAGTTTGTTGATATAAGGTGTGAAATTACAAGTACATGTAGTAGGATAGTTACTGGTCAATGGAATGACCTAGACCTTGACCAATGACGTTGACCTTTGACATTTTTTCGATCGATGATTTTCAGTTCGCTCACTGTGTTTTGATGGACGTTCATGACGTTTTTGTACTTATAGTGTTTTGTGCTGCAAACAATTTTGCGGGGCTTTGTGTCTAAGAGGCTCCGCCCCGCGGAGCATCATGATATAGTTCTTCTAGGAGTATGACCATACTTCCTGAACTTAGTTTAAAACCCTTACACTTACAGTTCTGGAAGACTTACTATACAATCATGGAGCTATAAAAAGAAAGTCTCACAATGTATGCAATTTAAGCATAATAACCCCCTAGGCCCTTTTTGCTTAGAACCATCCTCAATCCTCCAAAATTTTGCAACTCCACCTAAATTTTTCAAAATCATCAGACAGTCCTGCCACAAAATGCATTCATCCTCAATCCTCCAAAATCCTGTTGTGCTTCATTCACCATTCATCCTCAATCCTCCAGAATCCTCATGTGCTTCAATCACCATTCATCCTCAATCCTCCAGAATCCTCATGTGATTCAATCACCATTCATCCTCAATCCTCCAGAATCCTTCTATGCTTCAATCACCATTCATCCTCAATCCTCCAGAATCCTCATTTGATTCAATCACCATTCGTCCTCAATCCTCTAGAATATCCTCCAAAACCGCCAGGAGGATTTTGGAGGAGTGAGGTGGGTAAGGGTTAAAAAATACTCCGGAAAGATTCCATACCTGGAGTTCTGGACATTTAGTGAAATGTCCTTGGTGTTTTTTTCAGACAGTAGGATGCTGGCAGTGCCAGTAAGCATGTAGGATGGAACGCCGTATTATCGCGATACTTATCACGTTTCTTGTTTGGAATAGAGATTGCTTGCTAACCTTCCCGAATTGTCCTGTCTCTTAGGTTGTATAACTCTTCCTTTTCAAATGCCTGTGAAAATAGACATGCTCGGA